CAAATGCGTTGCTGAGGAGAATTAAAATTCTCGCGGACCTCACTACTACCTCAACAAGGGACAACGGCATATTGACAAATGACGCAATCATAAGCCCGTCTCCTCACACTGTGGGGTCCTAAAATTATAACGCAGTGATGGTGATAAATTAATAGATTGGGCGAAATTCTTTGAGATGAATAATTGTCTTTAATTGCCGCTTTAGAATAGAATTAATCTTTGTCGAATGTCGATGTAACCGTCAAAAGGGATGCTGGACTCATGCGTTTATCATGGAAAAATTACTCGTCATTTCTCAGATAGGTAAAATAGCTTAGCTCTACTTAAGCTCTTAAGGACTTCTACCCATGTAAAATTAACACTTGGAATTCAATGATGAATGAACCATTTGACAAATAAAATGATGGAGTGCTATAAAAGTGGAATACATGGTCAATGTATGCTCTGACTGTTTTTTGTTCAAAGTAAGATGAAACTCGGAGTGACCATTTCTTTTAATGGGTCGCAGTTGCGCTGGTCACAGAATTGTGTTTCGGTGCTTGATTCTTGTAGATTAACTAAAAATAACAAGATATGTCCAAACAGCAACTTTCTACGTTTAAGTTAGTTACGTTATAGTTACACCCTCAGTGGATTTGAAGGAATAATTACACATCGCGTTTTACGAATTTGATAATTTTGTTAAAACTTCATCAAAAAAGAAAATTATATGTGGAATCCAAATTCTAATCAACACTTACTACACATCGCATATGATGAACTTTTAAAAGAAAAAGAAAAAGAAAATTGAAACAAGCGGGAAAGCTCTAGTACGGTCGTATTAGCAACATTCTCAGCTGTTTTCAATGTAAGTAGGCGTGTTTTTGAAGTTCCCCGAAAAATATGAGCACCGTTGAGATGAAAGGACTCGCTCACCAAAATTTCAACTATCAATTTTGAGAAAACTATACTACCACTATAAAAGTAAACTGTAGAGAAACGATTATCGTCCTCCGTGTTTCGACATCAGAAATATTAAATATCGGTTTCACAAATTAATCTTTTCTAAATATTTGGGTCCCTTCCTCTCCGTCATCCTGTTGATGAGCTGGCGCGCCATTTGAACTCATCGTCACTAGTATACTTGAGTATTAGAGGCAGATTGAAATCAAAAAGCGCTCCATGTAGACTGAGCGCTTAAATGCAAAGAGCTTGCTTTACGTTGAGCGTAATGATGTCTTCTCAAATCTGATTTGTTACGGAAAGGCCGTAACTACATTCTGGGGTGAGCCTCGAGAATCATAAAGACATGTGCAACCCATGGGTCATACAGAAATCCAGTTAAGGCTAGAGTCCCTTGATACTGAGAGTCAAGACAACACCCCCTCATGGAGTCACAAACGGGAATAAAGATTACAGAAATTGAACGTCTTTTGTAATCTTTGATCGGCCTATTCTCAAATTCCTTTCTTCGTTCCTTTTCTCATTCCGTTTGTTCCTTGCCGAACCCGTAATTCCCTGGTCCGCTCCAGATTATAATCTTTGCAATCGGTGAAAATGTATAATCTTTATTCCCGTTTGTGACACTGTGGAGGCCTAAAATACGGGAACCAATCAGAAATGGATTCACATTGTCTTGACTCTCAGTATAAAGGGACTCTAGTTAAGGCTTTCTTCCGAAACACGGCAGAAATGCACTGAGGAAACATACATATATCACCATCCATTAGGAATGCATCAAAAGTATCATGATAGTACCTTTGATGCAATACATATGTCGCAGGCAAATAGTAAAATCAGGCATTGTGTCAAATGCCTGGGCAGGTGGTCAAATATTAAAACTTGCATTGCATTCTGATTATTTTCCTAATTTTGGACAAAATATTTCATTCCTCTCGTGAGAAAGAATTGTCTGTAAAAATGTGCATCCTAGAATAGTATTTAGAACGATTTTCAGCTTCTGAGAAAACATTCATCTCGAAATTTTCAGCAAATCACAGAACACAGAATTCCTACAATTTTTTCCTCTCAAATATTTGAGGATCATTTGAAAAGGAAGCAACAAGAAGAGTTCGTAGATTTGATGTGTTCTTTCTCTTAAAAAATTGAATACTCGTGAGTTCTCCGTGATAGCTTCACAAAATTTCGCAAACTGTCCTTTAAAAATTTCCAGGCATTTGATAAAATGCCTGATTTGACTGCGTTGCCTGTGACATTTATGTACTTGAAAAATTCCTCTCGTTAAATTCTGAGAATTTCCATTCACACCGTAGGTGTAAAATTACTTACCGGAGTTACTTGTACTTGGTCAGGCCCCAATGTTGTTGTCACAGGGTACGGTACATATGGAGACTGAAATGACACATAAACGCAAATTGAGAAGGCATGAAATTCAAATTGCTAGAAAGTGCCGTTCTGCAGTAATGCATCTCTTATAATTCATAATTTGTTTCATACTTTGAGACGTGATGACTGTGAGAGCTTTGTAAGTGCGGTTTAAATTCAGTTGAATCATGAAAACAAACATGCACGTGAGAACATTAAGCTAGAAAAAGTTGAGAAAATACACCTAAAAGTGCAATGTTTCATTTCATAGTATACATGAGCACTTTTGATAGATCTCATCAATAAGCGTACGAAATGAGAGATTGTAAATGAAACGAATTGCATCTTGACAAGGAGGGAGTAACAAAAAGTCAATGACGTAACCATATTGAGTAAAGCGAGACAGTGCGCGGAAAGCAACTGTAAAGCTCAGTTTTTGTCTCCTTTTAAGCGTGTAGGGTGAAGACAGTTGTGTGAATTTCTTTTCCTTCTTCGAGTAATAAGCAGAATTGTGCGCATGAAAGCACCTGATGGGGTTGTTGTGAAAATGGAGAGGAAATAGTTCCGTAATATCAATAGCGGTAGGTAAAAACCAACTTATTTTGTGGTAGGTCTGAAAGCTGCAATACTATAATGAAAGACCAAACAATGCTTTTTAGTAAAACCTGCCTCGTAGGCGTAGATAGAGCAATTTTCTGAAAGTGGTCTGACTAGGGAAGGTCTAGTGGGTCCTCTCCGTACAAATGGACCAAATTGTGCAATCAGGAGCTGCTATAGAAATAGCAGCTCATTTGAGAAGCAATATTAGTGCTATTATATTCTCCATTCAGAAACGTGCTCTGCCGTGCTAAGGAAAAACGCCATATGAACCGCCAGGCGTTGCCAAATTTCCTTTGATAAAACACGAATTTCCTGGTAAATTTATAAATATTTTCCTTCCAATTTCTCACGAAATTTAGTTCACAATTTTACCTAAAGACTCTGAAAATTACAAGGAAAAATATTCATAGCGATCCTAAAAAAATAAACATTTTATCGCAGGAAATTTGGAAATTCTCGAATTTTCAAACGGCGTCCTTCCTCAGGACGGCAGTGCTCCTAAGGATGAGCCAAAAAGAATTGGACTACATTTTGCAATTTGGACCTATAAATTCTGGCCCAGTTTTAAAACAACGTATGTGCCATTAGTTTCCCTATGCACATAAGCGTTTTTTCAGATGAGCCAGAATTTATAGGTCCAATTTGCAAAATGCAGTCCAATTGTTCCTTATTGCAAAATGTAGTCCAAATGTGGTTTCATTTCAAGGCGATCTCTACTGGCAGATTTTGGAAAATTGACCTTCCTCACTTGCATTTTGAGGTTATTCTCACGAAATATTAACCCGTGTGCANTTGTTAAATTGCCTTTCACCTTTATCACAGGAGGATGTAAGATGTGCATAACCTCAATCTTGCTTGCTGATAACGGCCATCTTGTTTGTTTATTTACGGCCCTAAGAGCATCGTGTCAGCCTATTTGCTCGCGACCAATGAAAAACCGGAACAGAAATGGCCATACTCTGTCTATAAAGGTACTCTAGCATTTTGAGGTTATTCTCACGAAATATTAACCCGTGTGCAGGCTTATGATTAAACTCCATCATTTTTTTCAAAAACCATCTCAAGGTTTTCCATCTTACGTACCTCATTATGCAATGAAGCGGAGAGATGTACCTTAGGCACTACTTATTCCTACTGTGCATGGTTTCTAGGAGGGGGCAGCCGATACTTGTTCGAATTCTAATAAAAACTAGGTGGGCCCACCCTGGCCCCTCAAGAGCTACGCCCATATTTATGAGTTCATGATTGTCCAAAGTTTATTTTCTCCTTTTTCCATTTTCAAGGACAATGGGACACATTCTGTGGTAAAAACTCTCTCAATATTATTTAAAATATGAGAAGAGATTGAAATATTACAGGAAAATGAATCAGCACGCAGTTTCCTTGAGCAAATTTGAGAAAAAGTTTACAATTCAAAATTTTAGATGTTCTGTGCCAGATTTAGCTGCAGACATTGTGATATTTCTGATTTGAAAATCATGACGGTAGTTTCAGCTCTCACTGAAAATAAAATACGGTAGACTTTAGAATAGGTACTCTGACACAGTGATACGAGTGTGGTAATCAACACCAGACTCTAGGGTAGTATTTACCATATTATGGTATAAATCACTGCAGTTCCGGTAAATACTACTACAATTCTGGTTATTTGCACTAAATAATATCACTGTGTAAAAAATCAAGTATAGACTTACTGTAGATGTTACCATGCTTTTTTTCCACTGTAGCTACCATTGCTCAACTGACACTATCTCGCCACTGGATGGCTCAATAATTCATTTGTTCCTTTTTACCTTAGAAGTAAGTATGTAACTTGGACTTTCTCCATCAAGGCTAAGGTCAGAACGAAATAGAACTTAAATGAAAAACCAAGCGCGTTACTGGAACTTGAAAATCACGACAACCCCATCGTCGTATGTCTATAGTTTAAGTTAGGGAGTAGGAGCTTTGGTTCGTCGAAGCGAGGAACACCTGACAAAAACTGTCAAAGACGAAACGTGCAAAAATGCATTGAAGCACATGAATAAAGACAAACACAGACATTGACCAGGCATTGAGCGAGCGCATCACAGGATTCGTCAAAAGATATTATTTACCTGGTTCACGGGGTTGGTTGCAGGGATTGGTTTATGTTCGGGCAAACCAATTCCCAAGTATTGTGCGTTCTTTAGTCTATTTTGTTGGTCCAACTGAGTTAAAAGGCGAGTCTTAAAATCTATTATTTTATTGATTTGCTGAAAAAAAGAATAAAAGAAAACTAGTCTGAGTACAGATTAAAGAGGCATGCATGAGAGTCGCATCTTATAAATGAAACGTCAATTTGACTATTTTCGGCGGTTTAACATTTAAATCTCAGCAATGGTGTAGGGTTAACGTCTCCAGTGGATCTACAAGTAGGTAGGACGACTCATTTTTCACACAGATCGACACTTAAGCAAAAGGAGTGAAACGGGACTCTTACATTGAAAAGAATCAAACCGAGATAAATAGTCCTGTATAGGAAAATGCACTCATTGAAATGATAAATATTTGTCGCGTTCTCTCATATATCATAGTTTATACGGTGGCATTTTTTATCTAACAGCTGGAGTAAACAGAATCGACACAAAGGGTTATGGAGGTTACGCACTTGGCATTTCCCCTTCCATTGTCAAGGGAGACCATACAGTTACAGTGCCCTATGTGCAGTAATAGTCAACCACCCAAGGATCGGTGACATGCGCTGTCTATACATCTTTTCTCATAGTCAATTGCACTGAGCCCAACTTGGGAATTTTAAGCTCCGCTTTCCTATTCAAGACTCTGTGATTGATATTAAACTTTAAGAAATTTAAAATAATTAATTTTTTTATGCCTCTCGTGCAACTATGTGGTCATCAGGAAGATAGTTACACCCCTGGAGGATTTATGTCTCATGTTGTACACTGCCGAGCTAAGGAAAAACATCGTATCAATATTTGAGAGTTGCAAAATGTCCTCTCGGAAAATAGTTATTTTTAAAGAAAGTAATGAATATTTTTCTTTGAAATTTTCAGGAACTGTAGGTGAAATTGCGAATAAAATTATCTGAAAAATTGGTGGAAAAATATTTACAAATTTTTTCAAAAAGGAAATTTAGCAACGCCTGGAGGCTCATACGGCGTTCTTCCTTAGCACGGTATAGTACACATATTTGGCCTTGTGGAGTATAATGCCAAGCTTCTGATTTTGTCTCTACTCTGCAGCGTATATTTGGAAAATGCCACTATGCATAAATCAATGGTAAACCATATTTTGATGAAATTCATTAAAAGGACACTGTGTCATGATGGCGCACCTTATGACAAATTCATTTTCTCAAAGAAAGGTATTTTTAATGAGAAAGCCGTTTGCTTACCACCTTTTTCATGATAGCTCTCTAATTTGTCTCTTCTCGGAGAATGTGTGCTTATCCACAGGTTCCGTGCTTCAGCACATTCAGCAGATAGCAGATCTCCATTTTATGTAAAGTAAATTACATAATAGCTACATTGTGTGTATTAATTTAAATTAAGTATGAAAAAAATAGGTTCGCGAGCAAAACAACGGCAAATCTTTTTACCCTCTCAAAATTTTAGTATAATTTATTGTGAAGTTGCATTGATAACGCTCGAAAATAGTAGATCGTATTCGATAGTGGTTCGATGTATCATTTGGTTCCAAACGGTGGAACATAACCTCAAACAAAAATTTTAGGATTTAAGCAGGAAAGGCTGAAAATGAGAAAATTCCTAACAAATTCACTTTCCATGGTCATTTTATACGTGGAATATCTGAGGCTATATTTACATGTTGAACCAATCGATATTGATTTAATCTCACTTGTTTGATGAATACGATTCATTCCGTTTAATTCTGATAATTTGAATTGTTTGTATTGAAACCTGGTTGTAAAAGTTAAATCGACCTTTTAAAAGTGTTATGGATTCGTAGAAACAGCACACAATAATAATTAAAACCAAAACACTACGAGTTCACCGGGAACATCAAAATCTGAAAGAAAGGATGCTGAGAGGGTTAATGAATCCAGTTACATTATACGTGCGTTTAATAATAATTGGGATATAAAACAATTATTTTAAGGCTGCATAAGTTGAGTAGACGTATTAAAATGAACAATTTCTCCAAATCATGAGAGTAAATCATATCATTCTGCTTTGTGGCTCATGGATTTGAATATGTTTTTAGTGGAAGACGGGTATGAAAATATATAAGTTCCATTGCATCTGGCTCTGGAGCTTTAAGATTTTTTTATAGTTTTAATTATGGTATAATTTATTTTATTTAAATTAATTTTTAATTAAGCTATTATTGTCATTTAACTGAAGTTATCCGCCTGGAAATTTTCCAAAACTCCGACGCCAAAAAATGAATAAACAAAGAAAAATAAAACGATTTTCTGGTAAAGCTTTTTTGGATGTGGTATTTCTTTACGCCTTATATTTTTTGGCATGTTTCGAGAGTTTATTAAAATTCATGTTACCTACTAAGGAATATACCATTGTTTAGGAGCCTACTTCAGCGAGCTGGACTTTCAGGAACCTAGTGCTCAATTAATACTTTTCAATATTTAAAGTTTTCAGCTGTTACGTGAATATCTAGAGCGACAAGATTTTCCTCCTTTTGTAACGAAAGTAGCTCAAATCAACTCTACATAAGATGTGACAACTTTTAAAATTCAGGAAGTATTGTAATACGTGAGCTGAAGATAGCCAGTGAACACTAATCCCTCACTCGAATCACTGAGAACCAACACTGAAAAAAAATTCTTGGCGTTTTTACCAAGGTCCGTTGGTACCTTTACCATCTCACTTTTCTACCAATTATTGGTAATTTTACCAAGACAGGCTGGTAAGCGTACCTAAAAACCGATATTTTTACTGTTTTTTCAGGTAAGAATACCACTTTTATTGGTAATCAACTCCCGGTAACTTTGCCATTTTATCTCGGTAATTCTACCACAGTCGATGAAAAATATTGGCGTTTTTACCAAGGTCCAGTAAAATTACCGAGAAAATTCAATAACTTTACCGAGATTTCTCGGTAAAATTACCAATTCCATAAATGGTAATTTTACCAAGAAAAAACTGGGATCAAAAAGAACCCTGAATTCTTGGTAATTTTACCCTTTCCTTAGTAAATACACCGAGATTTTTTTTTTTCAGTGAATAGAAGGATTCACAAGTAAAAAAGATTGGTTAGATGCTAGGTTAGTCAAAGCTACTGTGCGATCTCAAAACTACGCCCAAAAAACAACACAAAACCCATTAGAACACTTCTACTAATCAATGGTCTAATATCAAAATACTAGATATGATTCTACAAGAGAGCAGTTGACATTGCAGTAACGTTAGAAAAGCTAAGAGAACGCATGGATGCCTGCGAAATTTAAGGACATCGTTAGTAAAAATGTGCAAGTTGGTAGTAGGTAATTATTTCCGGGTTATTCGCCATGCATGATGAATTACGTAGGAGAAAATTGTGTTACTTAGTAGTAAAATAAGACAGAGAGACAGTAAATTGACGATTAGGATTGAAGGAAAAATGAAAAAATTAATATATTCCACTGCAATCGGAAATTTCTTTTGTAATATTCAATGGCATAAAAATATGATCATAGATTCTCATTTGCAAACTTTTGGGAATAAAAGAAAAATTTCAGATATCACACGAGCAAATACGAACTTGACAAGTTGTCATGGGTAGTTCAATACAATTTTGTTTTATCCTCTTACTATAGGGAAAATTTAGACGTTTCAAAGGTAATTCTCCCCAGAAAGTATTTTGAATTCAACCAGGTTTAATGTCTTACAATAATTGAGATCCATTGCAAATGGAGGCCTCTGATTCCTCGATTTGTTGTCTTTTTCCATGATCCAGGAAATATTAGCGTATTTTTTTTAAATTATGACTTTGTAAGCATTTAAAAATATGTGACGAATTAGACTTCATTGTAGAATTAATGTGAAAATCAGTTTTATTATAAAGACACTGATTCCAATAATCATTTTGAGAATTACCAGTCCTCTTGCCTTATTTCCAGAGTATTTTTTTCTGAAAGACCCACAATTATTTCAGCAGTGTGAATGTCAGTTACAAGTTACTAATGTCAGTTTCTTGGTGATGGACTGTTTTATTTTAACTTTATAAAAAAACTTGACTCCAATATGTCTAACATTATGAGAGAATCATTAATTATCGACAGTTTGGGGATTGAGTTTGCAACTGAAAATTACTGAAAATTTCCGGAGTGCAGTTAGTTGCGGCGAACATTCGAACAAATAAATCTTTCCGAGGTTCTTGATTGATTCAATTTTCTCTCGGAACGAATGACATTCCGATTAGAGCGAAACGACTTGCGGTTCGGGCGCCTGATAGTTTGAAATCAATTAAGCGTACGTTTTTGAAAGGTTTTTTACAGAGTGGTTGTGGATTCTTCGGTTGTTGTGAAGATTTCAGTCGAGCTGGAGATATCAGTCGAGCTGTAAATCTCAGTCGAAGTAGTGGTGGACGACGAATCTCCGCCATTACCGCCATTACCTCCACCACTACCTTTTCCGAAAAACTGGAGAAGAAAATGAAATCGATTAAAAACGATGAATTTCCTCAGACCATCGTTTCCTCAAAAATACAATAAGAGGCCACTCAACGTGAGGATCTAGAATGTGCCGGCTATACATTGTATCCATGAGCTAATTTTAAATTATTCGTGCATTTTTGAAAAGTACAGAGGATACCCAGTTCCTGGATTTTTAAAATGATACGAAACTACGAAAAACACACGCAAAGATTTCTGTTTTGAGCTTTCGTTTAAACGCGTATCGTCAAGGAAGCCAATATGGTGCACGAATTTATCCCTGCCACCGCGAGCTCTTTTCAATCGATCCATGAACCGTGTTGTGATGGTATTAATTGTAACGTGACTAATAATATCCATGTGCGGACTATAAATCGCAGCAGAGAGGTCACGCAGTTGGTAAGGGTATTTTCGGACCCCATATTGCGTTTTAGATGGAGGACAAAATGGACAACTCTGAAATCGGTTTTTGTGAATGATTGTTACTCCGAATAAACCTGAAAAAATCATGTGAACTAAGTGCCCTCTCTACTTTTCAAAAAACAATAATTAAATATTACGGAACAAGCTCATTAGAATAAAACGGAGGATTAGACAATTTTCGTGATCGAATTTTGCGGGAGCAAGTAAAAATGATTGAAAAATTGCTTGGTCCTGAGACTACACGATATTTTCGGCGATCTTGAAAAATAAACCAAGTGGAAATAATATCTTATTGCACGCTTCGCCTGAAAGAAATATTTACACCGAATGATTCAAAAGCGTTTTACAAGATATCACTCGTACATGAGATATTACCTTTTATTTCCTTTGAGCGGATCATAAAACTGAATGCAACATAATGTAAAGGAAAGGAGGCAGGGTGAGACAATGGGCCTGTTGCAAACTTTTGCTAGAGCAAAACTAAGAGTTGTTTCTTATAGATAATGCCTCAAAAATCACGATGAGCGCATCGGCAAACTCTGAAATGCACTCATAACTTCACAATCTGCGTAAGAAATTTGCGGTTTTTTGAGCTTCCCGCTTCAAAAACGATACTACGGCACAGGTGAACATTTTGTAAGAGGAGTCGTTCCATCGTCGGCAATAATCATCATAGCCGACGCCAATCCGCCAAAACACGTTTGATGGGACGAGATAACACCTGAACTGGATTAGACCAGATAACAATCGGTGTGTTAACGTTCATATTTTCCACGCCCGAATGGATTGACCTTGAACTCTCCTTGAATTACGCGCGGAACTGCGTGCAAGCGTCGGCCATGATGAATATCGCCGACGATGGAGCGACTCCTCTAACAAAATGTTCACCTATGCCGTAGTATCGTTTTTGAAGCGGGAAGCTTAAAAAAACGCAAATTTCTTACGCAGATTGTGAAGTTATGAGTGCATTTCAGACTTTGCCGATGCGCTCATCGTGATTTTTGAGGCATTATCTACAAGAAACAACTCTTATTTTTGCTCTAGCAAAAGTTTGCAACAGGCCCATTGAGACATCCTTGACATCTCTTCTCAAAGCGACATTAAAAAGTTGAGAAATCCATTAATTTTCCATGTGCTGATGTATACATTGAACCAGATTAATATTGGTCATTGAACTGATTCTAAAATATCAATACTGGACAATGTATAACTCAGATAAATGTACTATAATGAGGTTTAAAACATGGATATGAATTTTATGTTTGGTTTCTGACGTCGGACGCATAATAATTACCAGGATGTCAAAAATACCTGAACTCTAAAAATACCAGGACAAGTTCTATTCGGAAATGAAATTCCCAGAATATGAAGAATAATTGTCTTCAGAGCTATGAACTTCATGACTAGTAAACATTTTTCTCCAAAACATGAATCATGTTGCACTGAATTTCTACATTCATTTTGTGTTACGAATTAGCCTAAATAATTGAAACAAAATGTGATGCTTCGAAACTAAACAAATAAGACAAGAAATATATATACTACAATCGCTGGAGGTAAAGATGCACTGAGAAAAAATTATGGTTATAATTACCATATTAGTGGTGTTCAATATGAACTCCTAATTAGTAGTTGTCATAACCAATAATAGTGATATTTTTACTGGAGCAATCGTAATTTTACTAGTGTGCGGTAGTAAAATTACCATTCAATGATAAAAATATCTCTATTATTGGTTATGGCAACTACTAACTAAGAGTTCATATTGAACACCACTAATATGGTAATTATAACCATAATTTTTTTTTCTGTGTGTTCTAGAGGTATTGTGAACCAAAGACATCGCAGTAGCATTCATCCTTCTTCTTTTTGCGGCAATTAACGACGTTTTATTCTTTGGTTCACTCCAACGATTGAATCTCTAAAATACTTAGGAGCGTTTCAAGTATTACGTAAAATATTCATGCCGAATGTTTAAAGCCTCCCATCCGACCCTCCACTGAAAAAAAAAAAATCTTAAATTTGCCGCCAAGAAGTATTATTTCTTAAATCAAGAATTTTTCTGTTCAATATAAACTACTTTTTTGCTTAACCCAAGCCTTATTTTCCTTGTATCAAAAAAAAAAATCCGCTCAAATCAAGATAAAAAAAATTCTTGGAAGATCCAAGAATCATCATGTTTGAGCTTAGCACAATTTTATTTCAGTGGATCGTGAGAAACTCGTAAGATAACCTCTTATCCCTTTTGGAACTACGTAAACTAGCCTGAATACCGGGAAAATGACAGAAAAAATTATTTTCAGTGAGAAGTATTATTTCTTGAAAAGTAAAAGTCTTTAGTAAGGCTAGGCTTGAACCCCCTCCCCCCTCTCTCTCTTTTAAGGGGCTTACGTAATACTTGAACGACCCTTTCAGAAAATGCAATTTTGAATTGTCTTGAGCGAAAACAAGTTGACAGTTGAAATACAATGGAACGGGAAGCATTAGTGAGGTTATACGTAACTACTTTAGAAGCGGTTGAGAGAGTGAAAGATGAAAAATAAATACCCCGAAAAGTAGATTGATGATGAGAGCTTTGATTCCAAGCGTAGCAGCGGCTTTGACTCCAACCTTTCCGATTTTAGAGGCAGCCTTTAACCCTACGCCTAGAGCACCCGCTTTCAGGGCACCAGCCCCTATTTTTAGGGGTTTAATTTTTTTTAAGGGATTAATTAGCCTTTTGTCTTTCTCTCCACCGTGATGTGAGTTTTCTCCGAAAACATCATCATCTAGCGTTGCCTGAAACAGAATAGAATAGAAAAGGAAATAAGAATGAGGAGATCGGAATATGCAAATCCTCACTAAAATCTTCACAAGAAGAAAAACAATTGAACAGTATTATAGATAAAGGGTTGAATAAAATTATGGCACACGACTGATGTGTTAGTGGTTTAAGTTAAACTTGTACTTTTTCGGCGGATTCAACCGATATCAGCCTAACTACATCAGACGTTGCTAAATTGTCTCTGATGTCTCATTTTTAAACAAAAACCAAGCAATACTTGCTTTTTTAACAAGGTGGAGAAATAGTGCTGGGTCCACACCATTTTGTGGGGGAAAAAACCAAGAAGTTCCAAAAAAAATGTATTTAAAACAATTTATTTTTTACACTAATTACAATTTTTGTGAACTTCTTGGCTTTGTTTTTCCCGCGAAATGGTGTGGACGCAGCACCATTTCTCCACCTTGTTATATACAGTTCGGATCACCTTTTTAATGTTTTTTTCTCATTTGCTTTTTTACATATAGTATTGATAAATTCAGGGGCGAAGCGTGAATGGTCGATTATCCGTAATTCCCCATTAGAAGCTGTGGTAAAAATTCAATTTATTAGCGGTGTCGTCCGACATTGTAGACATAATGAAGTGGACATTGTTTAATTTTAGTTTGCAAGCGCCAACTAGAGTACCTGTATACGGGAGAGTATTGCCATCGCAATTCTTTAACTGCAGAAAGAGTGTACCTCTCTCTGATTGGTTGGCTAACATGGAGCCCCAAAGTTGGCCCAATGTAAACAAACCCTAGCCCCTCCGCTCCTAGTTTGAACCAATATAAAGAAACAAGATGGCGGCAAAATTCTACAGATTTCTAGACATGATTTTGGATGTGATAGAAATTTTTTTATATCCAATTTCAGAATTGAGTTCGGATCGGACTTTAATGGATATTTTTGCCGAAAATTAACCAGCGAGTGTGATTATCATTCAGTTCTCAGCCGAAATTACATATGTTCCTCTGGTTTGTTTACATTAGGAAAACTTTGGAGCTCCACGATAGCCTAAAACTGATGAACAAATCAGAGATCGGCACGCAGATGGTAATTCGCGCGCAAGAGATACAGCCAACTGAATACATTTTTTAAGGTTAAATGCGCGCGAAAATTACGTTGGTCACATGCGAGGAGTTTTCCGTGGTGGCCAGCAGCCACGTTTACTCGGAAAGAGACCTAACTTAAATTATAACAAACAATCCCGCGAACTGATATGAAATCTTCCTCACGTAAGATTGCAATTGATCCAAAGCTTTTGTTTTTGCAAAATAAAGGAAGAAAAAGTAAACGAACGCTTGAAAATGATTGAAATCATACGATAAAAAAAGTTAGTGAAATCTTTTGTTTACTCAGATTTAGACACTCTGCAGACCTGATCGGCGGTGACAGAGAAAAACTGCCCGCAGACGCGGAAAACTTGGAAAAGCGTATTACAAACTACGCAGATAGCTACGCACTAAGGAATGGATTTCAGACTCTTTCAACGTGCCCATCATTTTAGGGGGGCGCCGATTTAGGGGGTGGCCACATGGACCGCGGCCTATAGGGGAAAATTTTATAATTTTTTTAATTGTAGGTTAAAAAAAAATCGGATTCAGAAAAAATATACAAACTAGGAAAAGCGACAGAATCTCTCATTTCCTAAGAGTATATTAATTTCTAATTTTGCCGTAATTTGGTGATACAAGAGACAGCACCTTTAATTCGTCGATATAAGAAAGGAATCAAACACGCAATTTGGCATGGAACGGCGCGGCGCAGAGAGCAATGATGACTAAGGACTTGAGATGAAAAAGAGAAGCCCTCGGTGCGGCGGTCAGCGTGTAGCACATATAAGCGCCTACGTAGCTCCATGAATACTTCACGCATTGCGTCAAAGGCAGTGCGGTCAGGAGCGGTCGGCGGGAAACGCATTGCACCTACAAGACTGTAGGGATACTTCACACATTGCGCCAAACACAGTGCGATCATGCAGCGCGACACGGCGCGGCGGCGGCGGAAGTTAAGATTATTAAACCACATTTAAATTTGTTCTTTCATAATTTTTTCGTTTATTTCTTATAAATGGAAGGCCTCGTCCACACAGAGATAGGTTTACGGAACTTACTTTCGCGCAAAGTTCCATGAACTTTTGGTAGTAGTGTTGACAGGACTTTCGCAAAAAATGTGTCCAACACGATGCACCCCTCCCCCTGTTCGTTTTATTTGATGTTTCAAAACGAATGAGAAGGGAGCGGCAAAATACAGGCGGCTCATGTGCGGAAAGCAGGTAAGTCCGGCCCTGATGCCCATCGTATTTTCGTGCGATTTTACCAATACAGCGTGTATGCGTGTATGCATTTGGCTGTATCTCTAGCGTGCAATCGACCCAGTAAGAAAAACGCATCTAAATTGTGTCATTTTATTTTTCTTTGTAGAAAAACTGATAAACGCGATTGTTTCAAAGTGTAATGAGTATGCTACGAACGATAAAAAAACAGCAGTAAAAATTCAAAACGATACTGTTCATTCGGTTTTCTTTGAAAATTTAAATTGAATAAGAATTTAGCAATATCGCAAGAAAAAAAGAGTTTTTTTCTTCCTTTCTTTCTTTAATCTTTTACCATAGACATCCAAGACATGTTAATAGAGTGAGTGCATGCCAAAATCATTAACTTTAGTCGTTGTAAGTGCAAACATGTTGGTAAATAGAAATTTGTGTGCAATGTTAAGTACGAAAAAATGTTGTATTCAACTCTCCGAGTCTTTCTTGGAGGTACCTACATTTAGCAAAGAGTGTATAATTTTTCTCCGTATGAAGACAGATTTGCAAAATGTCACGTGCGCAGGTAGTTGTGTGCCAAAACCGCATTCATAAGTTATTATGAATTCAGAAAAATTCAACCGTTTACCAAAAATCGGTGACAAACTTTAGAGAACGGTGCTTTATTTTTAATGAAAAAGTCTCATGTCCTTTCATTCTTAAGGAGGAACGACATTTGTCTACATAACTTCAAATTTCATTGAAAAAGAGCTTTTAAAATGTGTACTATTTTTGATTTGCATGCATTATGAGACCTGTCCCCATGATGAATTAGCATAAAAAGTTCGCGTGCGGGGACTTTCTTGAATGAAAGTAGATTGTTAAAATCAAGTCACCACGTCTTTCGTATAGCGTGGATCAAACTCATGGAGGAGGGCAAACATGGGCGTAGCTAGGGGGGTCCTGGGGGGCCTGCCCTCCCCCCAGAAATCTCGTGCC